ATATCTTATCATCAATGTAAATATGCATTGGTCTGTCATTTGTCAATGCATAAATATAATGTTGCAAAACACAAGCAAAAGTGAACCAAAGTGCAAATTTACTCAGAACCAGGATTTACACTCCACTTGCATCGCTTCCAAACGCAGCCTAAGCAGTCAAATTTTATTTGACCTTTTTCAAAAAGTAAAAAAAAAAGAGAGAAAAAACAACCTTAAAAGTTCTGTTGCTAGACAAAACATATTCAGCAGAAGTGTACCAAAGTCACAGTCCATGTAGTAATTAATATCAAAATTCATAAGTTGTACCTGTGATTTAAAAGGCAAGAGGTCCTAGGCATCTCGCTTAGGTCCTAAGCGCACAGGCGAGGCACATTTTAGGATATGCATCTCGCTTAGGTCCTAGGCACAATACTTTCAGAAGGCACATTCTCTTGGTGCACTTTTTTTTTTTTGGAAAGTTCGTGTTTTATATAATATTTTTCATTTTTTTGAAAATTTTTACTATTTTTTTTTTTTTGCATTTTGCACCTTCCTTCAAAAAGGTGCATGCCTTGTCTTGCTCTTCGTGTTTAAGATGCAACATGGCCTTGCGCTTTTTTTTTTGCACCTCATGCTCAGCTCAGTATTTCTATATAACTCTTATGTTGTGTTTGGTTGTCAAGGAAATGAAAGATATGGAAAAAAATCTTAAAGAAGGGAGGCCAAACCAGGAAAGAAAGTTAAGATAAAATAGCAGAAAAGGGGTGGGGACAGTCAATAGTTCTGAACACAGTTTTAAGAAAAGAATGAGTGGGGAGATAAAAACTCTTTTTTCTCTCCCATTGATGTTGTGAACACATTAATTGTTACATACTGGTGGCAGAGGATTTCATATTGAAAAGAAAGGTTTTCAAATCGTCGTTGACTTGGATGGTTAAATTGCTCAGTTTATAAATCAATTAGGGTATTGGTTGTACTACACCTTCAAACAGTTATTTTCACAAAAAACCGTTGAATTAGTTAGTGATCCACTGATTCGAGCAGTTGAACCATCAACCCATTCAGCCCAAAGACAATGAATTTTGGGCCAAATTTTTTATTTTAATTATTTTTAATTTTTTAAATGTCATGAACTGATTTATTTGAATTAGACGGTCAAACGACTAACCCAATAATCGGTGGCCAAAGCAGTTTTGGTTTTGGGTCATTTTTTAAAACATTGTTGAGAAGAATGATATTTCACTTGTAAGCAAGTTTTCCTGTTTTATGTGGGTAGGTAAAACGGTTTTGAATGTAACTGAATACCCTAAACAAGATTTTTCCTCTTTTTGCATAATAGCCTTTTTATAAGCCATTCAATTCAGCCTTTCAGTCCTAACAAACGGCCTTTAAGTAAAATAAGGACACTTTTGGAATTTTAAAAAGTTCCTTAGGTCCATTGAGACTTAGATAAGAGATTTCACAGAAGGTGGTTTTAAGGTATATGCTACATCAGCCAACAGAATATATTCAAGTATTTGTCCATTTTCTTTTAACACTAAAATTACATCTAGACCATCCTCCATCCAGTTGCAAGTCCCTTACCAGATATTTCATAATTAGGTTTTTTTGCAAATTTGTTAAAAGGCTAAGCTAATGGATGCAAGTCACTCTTACGGTTGAGCCTAAGGCCTGAGCCAGGTCCAAGCTTGAGTCAATCTCGAACCGTCTGACTTGGGTCCAATTCACATTGAAATTTGATGCATTCAGGTTAACATCAAGCTCTAGTTGGGATTAGGTTAATCAATCAATCCATACTAAAATTTGATATACATGTATGTTTATATGTATATATGTGTGAATTTATCTATGATTTATAAAAAAAATGCATATATATATATATATATATTAATATATTTATATGCATATATGAATGTACATAATGGGGACATGTTCGGATTACGTAAGGGTTAGGCTTGGGCCTATCTTGAAAAATAAAAGGCCAAACTTTTGGCCCAGGCCCAGCCGGCCTGCAGACTGAAAATCCCAACCCAGCCTGGGTAAATTTGTGGGCCGGGTTGGTCGAGGTTGGGTTCGCCCAGGTTGCACCCCTTGCTAGGCTCTGTTTGTTGCACTATTGGAAGTGACAATCTTTTCTTTTCTTTTTTTTTTCAAAATTGTAATTATATCTTCACCCATTTTAAGGTGATTTCTCAGCTATTTTAAATGAAAAGAAATGCAACCACAAATAACTGCTCAATTTACTTTAGGTTATGTTTGGTTTGAAGGAAAAAATAGGAAAAAGAAGAGAAAGACAGGAAAACCTATATAAGGTTTGTAAAAGTTTCCTTACCTTTCCTTGCATTTTCCTTCAAACCAAACATAATCTAAAGGATAGCAGGATACAAAAAAAGTGTCACAGTTTCACAGTGTAGTGGCACCATTGAAAGAAACCTTTTCCATTTGATGACCATCAATTTTGAGGCTGCATTTATTTCCATGTAAATCGTGCAGAAAATATAGCTGAATATATTTCAGATTGAAAAGTTTTCTCTAGGTTGATACGTTAATGTGGAAGGTCAACATATCATCTAAAAAGATTGGCTAGATGAAGACAGACATCAAAGGCCTAAGGAATCAGTGGTCAAGGGTGACAAGTAGACAGTGTGATTATGGGGCATGCAAGCAGCCTAACAATGTGTTTGGTTTGATTGAAAATAAGAGAGAAACAGAAAGTTGAGGGCAAGTTCTTTAAGGATTTCACAAATTTTGTGAAGAACTTTCCTTCAAAGCCTCAATTTTCTGTTTCTCTCTTATTTTCTATCAAACTAAACACGTCTTGAAGGTCAGAATCATCATCCAAGCTTTATCCCAACCACATGGGGGTCAGCTACTTGAATCCTGTTTCACCATTTCATTCTATTTAATGTCATATCCATTGTTAAATTGTTATGTAATGCCGAGTTATAGAATTCCTAGTGGCAAACAGACAAGCCAAATAATGGTCCCTGGCAAACAGACATGGACCATTATTTGATGTGATAGTAAAACCTTGAGTTAACAAGAATGAGAATGTAGGTTCAAGTCCCAAATCGATTACTTCTAAAAAAAAAAGCCAAAGGTCAGGTCATTATTCAGTTTATCCCATTAGGAGTGGATTTGAGCCGAGCCGAGCCGAATACTACCAGGCTCGAGCTCGGCTCGAGGCTGTTCTACAAGGCTCGAGCTCAAGCTCAGTTCGAGCCAGAACCTTGAGCTCCAGCTCGATTTTGAGAAAAAAATATTTTATAAAAATAAAAAATTATATATACAAATATTTTTTGTTTGATATTTAAAAAATTAAGAATTATAATGTTTTTATTATATATTATTTTCTATAATTTTATTATTATTATTATTATTATATATATATTCAAGCCGGCTCACGAGCCGAGCATTAGTAGGCTTGAGTTTGACTCATTTAATAATCGAGCCAATGAATTGGGCTTGAGCTCGAGCTCAAACTCAATTGAAACCGAGCTGAGCTGAACTTTTCATGAGCCGAGCTCGAGCAACTCATGAAAAGCTTGGCTCGTTGCCACCCCTACATCCTACATAGGGCCATAAATTGCATTGCGCAACTTGCGTTTAAGCTACATCGGGCTTGGGTTAGGGTTCAAATACATTGAAAGCTTAAAAAAATTTCTAACCCAACCCACGTTGCACTCCTAATACCAGAACCCTGGATAGCAGGGACCATCATTGGGTAATGACTCCTTTCTAGACAGATTAATGAGCATAAAAACAAAATATTTTGTAATAAGATGAATGTCGAGTGAATGATCAAGAGTAGTTTTGAAAATCTCCATCCACTTGATAAGATGAATTTGAAAGGTTGAGGCATGAAAGTATTGGAATGCTTTAATTAACCCATGCTTTAACATCTCTCTTGTATGTTGTTTTTATCAGAAATGTGTTTCACCAAGAAACAGGAATGTCCTCTCTCTCTCTCTTTCAAGGTGTTTCAAGAAACGGAAATTTGGCCATTTAAGAAACCCCTCCTCTTAAATAGTCTTTTTTTGGGAGAATGACCGATCATCCCAGGGTTAGAATTTGTAGGTTCAAATTACTATCGGAGTAGGTGCCAGCTCGGAATTGATGTCAATTCACGAACGGGCATTGATGCATAGAATGTGGGTAGGTGCCAGCTTTTGAATGTTTATAGCTCTGCAATTTAAATCAGAAATGTGCATTGGACAAATCCGTTTTTTTTTCTGATGTAACAAGCTGGTGAAACAGAACACTCGTCTATAGGTGGGAAATACCCGCCTTGTTGTCCATCAGCGTTGGACAGTTGTGGGGTTTTTTCAGCAGTTTATGTTTTCTGTTTTTTTTTTGCTGTTTTTAAAAACCTGCCACATCAACGAAAACATAAAAACATGTTCTTGAACATGAAAGGATTGGATCAGAATTTCTATCTGAATGTTGTATGCCTTGTGAAAATATCATATCAAGTCACCATGACAAAAAGATGTTTTTTAAACCAGAAGTTGGAGAACATGTTTCTGGTTTCATATTTGAAAAAAAATAGAAAAATCTACACAATCAAGAATGTTTTTTCCGAGATTTTGTTTTCAAGCAACTGTGGGCCCAGTTTTCCTGAAACCACAACAAGTGAAACCACTCAGGTTGGAGAACACCCCCTGTGTTTCAAAGGGCAGAGGATTCCTAGAAGTTGGGCAGCAAATTTTCATAGTAGATCCAGACTTGTAGGTGGGGTCCAAAAAGTTGCCTGTGCATTGGTTTTCTAATAAGAGTGAGTAACAACCTAGACAATGGAGGCTACCCTCGTTCACTGGTCATGTCTTGACTGTTAACCAAATGCCTGGCTTGCTTGTTCTTTTATAAGCAGTTAACTTGGTACAAAGGCAAACTTGGTTTGGATTGAGGAAGCCTTATTGGCAGTGACCCATGTAATTACTGGTGTGTAATTGTTTCTTTTTTGCTTTGACTGTCACTTGGGGTTGGGGCTACTGTACCTGAAAGCCTGGAACAAGAAATCATCTTATAACTATCATTTATGTCCATCATTATCATTAACTTGGGTTTCTCAGGAGTGTTTCCTGTTTTGAATTCAAAATCTTGGGTTGGAGCTGAAACAAGTAGGCCACCAAAGCTGGAGATAAAAAAGTATTAACAGAAGGAACTATTTGTTTCTTTTTGAATCATTCAAGGAAAAGAAGTAAAACAAAATTACAAAAAAAAAGAAAAACAATTGTGTTTTCAAACAAGGGATGGATCTTGCATTTCCACTCACATGTAGGATGATGCGATATCTCGAACATCTGAAGGCATCAAAGCCAAGATCATAAGCACAGCAAGTATGGCTATAGGGAGCAGAAGCAGCATGAAAGGTGGTGGAGGCAATGGTGGTAGTATAAGTGGAAGGATCAGCAATGAAGCTGTGAGACAGGTGAGCACAAGAAAGGATTCCATACTGAAATAACATGCCGGAAAGGACTTCCGGCTGTTCGCCGGTCTGTTCCCTTGTGATAGAGATCGATGACAATGCCTAGCGCTTTTATCAACCAAAGCAGCAGACCCTTTTGCTCTACCATCCATTACTCCAGTTCTGTGAGCCTGTACACTAATCAAACCTCCTGGCAATCTTAAGTCCACCTCCTGAGTTTCAAAGCTCATTTAAATTTTCCTCAACCAGCTATCTTCACAAAACCAGGACTGAACCTTCTTTCAATTTACGATTAGTTTGTTGGCCTCTAATCTCAATGACAGCAGTTGCTGTTGATGGAGGTCTGAAAGTGAGGGCCAATGAATGTGTATCAGATTGCTACTTGCTCAGGATTCAGGAAGGATGACCACTGGGTTCCAACTCCCAAGTCTTCAGATTTGACTATAATCAAACTCAAGGAGGTTGACAACAGGTTCAAATCAGCATGCGCCAGTGAATTTTCAAGAGGAGCTAAGCCAGAGCATCAACTTTCAGAAATGCAAACAAGATCAGAAAATGAACTCCCCAGAAGTTTGGCCTGCCATCTGTGACTGTACAAATCCTTCATAGCCATTTCGTTCTTCAATTCTAGACTTTGGATGTCCATGCTAACTCAGCCTGACTTCAACCTGTAGACCATGAAACATCATCCCCAATTAGCTCAACTAAAGTCATTTTCAAGACAAACCCAGAAAGCAGTGAAAATAAAAGAGGATTGAATCAAGAATATAGAAACTGTATATGCCCAGACAAGATTCCATTGCTGAAGATCTATTGAAGCAATGACAAAAAACCATTCAGCCCCAAAAATACACAAGCTTATGAACTTCATTTTCTTTCAATGGTGGATAATGGATGCCCAGTATTCACAAAACTAATCACCGTTCTAGACAGAAAAGGAAATGAAGAGTATGGTAACAAAAAAAACTGGACTTATTTTTCAACAATTTAAAAAGCACAGATCAAACCCAAATGTTCCTTCAAAACTCCTGACTTGCAATCCACAACAGAGTTAAAAAGACCCACTAACAACAAAAATGGGGAAGAAAAATCATAATAAGCAAATAGATAACAATGACTCCTTCAAGAATCTCACTCATTTCAGCCCTTATGAACCTCTTTCTACAGATGAAACTTGAGAATGGATCCCACTTAACGAACTATAAGGATGAACAAACGAGAACAATCAAGCAGATAATCCTATTTCATGCTTGTAAAGAGAATGGAAGCATCAAAGCAAATGAAAGAAGGGAGACAACTGAGGAGGCAAGGAAGAGACATATGTGCATACCTGTAGATTTGGCACTGATATGGTTGCCTTAGGTGGTGGTGTTGATAAAGAGGCTAAGGTTTCAGGTTTCCAGATGAGGCCACAACAAACAAAGGTCCTTTGCAACACCTTTTGTATTTCAGAGCCCCCCTCCCTCTCCAGTCTCCACAAACCTTGTCTATTTAGAACCAATTCCAGGAGTACAAGAAAAAGGATATGAAAACAAGATCAAAGAGAAAGATCCAAATGTTTTTTTTTTTTTTTTCCTTTTAAAAAGCGACAGAAGTTGAAATGGTGGTTAAGAATAAATTACAATAACGAAGAGGAAGAAGGTGAAAAGGCCACGACCTTCACTCCAAGAGATATCAGATATTGACATTTGGCTGTTGTTCCCCTTTTCTGGGTATGTGGGGGATGGTTGGGTTGATGGATAGAGATGGGTTTTGGGTTCCTTCTCTGTATTTGTATTTTTGAATTTGAGGTGCTAAGGAGAGATTGAAAGAAAGAGAGAGGCGGGTGGGATGGATTCAGTGAATTTCAACTCAAGTTGGATTGCTTCAGTGCGAATGGTGACGGGTCTCATAAAAAAGAGAGGGTGTCTCCTAAGGTTCTTCACCCCTGGACCCCCACTCCCTCTCTTGTCCTTCTCCCTTCCGTTCTCTATCCAAATGATCTCTCTCTGGAATTGGGCCAACCCACTTTATTCATTTATTACCATCTAATAAATTAGTGAACAAATCAAGTTATACAAGTGTGTGTTTAGCTGTTAATCCATGTTATTCTTTTGCAACTTGCAAGGTCTCGGATCCACAATTCACTGTTCAATAATCCTCATTATCTGATGACCCTTAGAAGAGTCATTAGCTCTTTGATTGTTTACTCTTGGTCTGGAGATAGATATCTTGGGTTTGGGGCTCCATGTTCCCTGCAGCCTACAGTCCCATTTCAATAAGATATTCGAGATCAAGATCCAGCTCTCAAACGGGTCTCATTAAAGAGATTAATTTAGGCCAAACCCAGTCTTGGGTGACGACTGTAGGCTGTGACTACTTGTTTTCACTGAACCCATTTTGAATGGTGACAAAGAAAGGATAACATTTGAAAAATTCTTCTCAAGAAAATACAAGGTTCAGATGGTTACAATCATCTGACTATGTTCTTCTTTTATGTTGATTCGGCCAAGTTCACGTGAAACTGATCCATTGGTGGGTCATAATCCTACAGTGGGGGAAAGGCATTTATTCATGTTGTGTAGGCAAACGATACAGGTTGATTCAAGACTCTTCCATCTAATTACTTGGTGGACCGGGTAAGTATAGTTGATGGATTTGTTTTGCCAGGTCTCTTATGGAACTTCCAATTCAAAAGGTGGTACAAGGAACCCCTTAAACTACCTTAATGGGTCATTTAGATTTTCTTACTGTACAGCTCATCTAACAAGTTCCTCTCCATTTTTTTTTTAATTATAGCTGCATATATTTTATTAGTATGAAACAAATCTTCAAACATATTAAAAGGGAAATGGGGGAATGCATCTGCCTCTTTCCAATATGCACACGTTCTGTGGCCGTCACCAACTCCCAAGGAAAAGAAAGATATTTTAAGGCTTTACTTATCTAGTTACATTCTTATATAAATTATCATCATAGTTGCCGTCGTCGTCGTCGTCATCATCATCATCATCTATCATCTATGCCTTATTCCAACTATATCGGGGTCAGCTACATATATACAATTTAGCCATTCTATTTCAATATAATATTATGTTTGGTTTGATAGAAAATAAGAGAGAGAGAAAATTAATGGATCGAAAGTTTTTCTCAATATCACAAAATTTGTTAAGAACTTTTTCTCAATCTTTTGTTTATCTCTTATTTTCTATCAAATCAAACATAGCCTTGAATTTTGAGAGAAAGAAAGCTTCAACTGATTGCACATTTACAATACTAACCTCAAATAGTTGTTTATATTTAATGGGACAACGTATTGATCCAGATGGTTGAACCGTGGTGACCGCTCAATTGGTTCGGTCTCAGGTTTTGAGTAGTTATTTCGCTAGGTTAAACCAGACAGTTGAATTATTCCTCACCACCTCGACAGTTTTCTCAGTTGACATCTGAGCTGCTGGTTTTTAAATTCTTGAACAAGGGATGGAAATCTTTAATTTTTCAATTAAAAAAAATCTCCAAATCTAAATTCATTGCATTTACTTATAAGTTGTGGTTTGTTTATGCACTATAAATTTTATTTTGGCTCAATTTGGAAAGAGTACAAATATAAATAAATATGTATAGTGTAAATATAAGGTTTAGAAATATAATATACAAGGTTTTGCACTGTACATATTTGTATTTATACTTTTACCTGAACATAGTTTTCAAAACCGGACCGGGTTAGATGGTTGGACCAAAAAAAACTGAGACTGATCAGGTGACCAGTTCCGTTTTATCCTATAACCGTTATTTCCCCCAAAATCATTGATTTGGTCAGAAAGCCACTGACCCAGGTGGGCGAACCGTTTGAACCATCCAACGGTTTGGCCATTTTTAATTTTTTTGTCAAAACGGGCCATCTATTCGATTCGAATGATTAGACCATTCGACCCGGAAACCGAACCCTTGATCAGTTTGATTTTAAAACCTTGTACCGAACTGAGCTTTTGGTGCAATAGTAAGGGAATGCAAACAATTTGAGTGCAAAATCTGAGTTATTATTGTTTCAGCCTTTCCTCTTGTTGCCTGTTTCCATTGTGAATGGAGTAAAATAAAACCTCAACCAAAGTAAAGCAAAAGATAAAAGGCGCCTAAACTAGAATTTACATTTTTCTCATTTACACTCGTATGCATTTATATTAGTACAAACAAATGGAGCTGGTAACTAGATGATTCATAAAAGAAATTAGGTAACACCTGAAATCACCAGACAAGAAAAAGAAATGCATTCATAGATAAGTTGACAGCATGGATAGATGCATTGATACCAATTCATTGAATTATTCATGAATAATTTGTATGCTTGATGGATTTTTCAGAAAACCTCTTCTTTTTGCAGCTTTTTCAAAAGCAGGAAGATGAAGGATTCAGCTTCTTTGGAGTCAAAATAAAAAAAAAAAATTGTTTTATTATATATTTATTTATTTATATGTTTTAGATATTTTTTACTTGTATACACAGAATTAGTAATTCATAGAATAAATTAGCTAAAAAAGGGTGAATTTTTATCCCAAAATTTTTAAATTAAACCACAATAACCATGAAACTAAAATGAACACTCATGATACATGGATTGGTATTAAGATGCTCCATGTTAAAAAAAAAAAAGAAATTGAATTGGTTGTGAGTAAATTATATTTGATGTTTTCTTCTAAAATTTAAATAACAATTGGGTTGGAATATGCCTTTGAAAAATCTTGCAACCAATAAATCGGCATCATAAAAGTAGTAACCTAGTTTTTTATATCATGTCTTTCTAACAGCACAGATTTTTCCTAGGATGATACATGGAAGTGATTGTAGTAGATCCCATTTTCTTTTATAATGGGACACCATCAATCAATCCACCTTATTGCATTAACATTATCTTCAAGCAAACGTGACTATTTATACAAGTTAGCTAGGGCTGCTCTCTACTTTGTTTCAATTATCCTAACTTTCGTAGAATCTCTTACTAGTTGTAGCAGAGACTTGGGATCAAATTTTGTTACCACATGTAGGAAGGGGGGTCGACTGCCCCTATTTTTTTTTAAATTTCTACCAAGTAAAAGAGAATTTCATTGAAAAAAAAGTTAAAAGAAAATTTTGATAAATTAGGAGGGTTCACTTTCCAAAGATAAACCTAGCTTCCCCCAGCAATGTACTCTTTGAACCGAGTTGAATGAAAGATTATGGATTTATTTATTTATTGTGTGGATAAATTCTGCATATTTCTATCCAAAGGAGAAAAAGCAAAAATAAATAAAAAATAAAATAAAAATCAAATGAGAAAACAAAAAAAAAAAAAGCATTGAGGGTGTTCTTGTCTTTTCACATATACAGTATGAGTAATAATTTTGATTTAATAATGGTGCTCCCTTTAATCGAAAATGGGTTGTGTCCCAATCACTAAAAAAAGCAAAAACATCCGTATGTATAGTAGTAATATTGAGAGAATCGTTGGTTTTCCAATCCTCTTATTTTCCCCGCCCGCAGTATGGAAGAAGAAACGACTGATCTTTCAAAAGATCCCCCTCCCTTTCCAACGATAACGCTCTCATGGAACAAACCATACCAATCCTAACGTGTCAGCCTTTGATTGGCCACACCTGAAATGAACGAATCATCCATTGACGCGTTAGGGAATAACACGTGAGAGCGCTACCGTCCGGAGGAGAAAGTACTTCGCATAAAACAAGGTGCCAGCGTCTGTCTCACTCAGCAGAAAAGTCACCACTCACGAGGATTTGATTCGAATTTTGAGAAGCATGACGCAGGCCTTGTACGAAGAAAGGACTGATGTTCCCATGAGAAACGCTCCCGCCCGTACTCCCGCGTGATCCCTAGCGCGTCTATCGGTTATTGGCTTTTTTTTAGTTTTTCTCTTTCCGAACCAATGACCGATCGAAACGTTAGGGTAACACATGAGGGCGATCCCGTCAGAGAACCTCGTGTAAAGAAAATGCCAGCACCGGATCTGCCCTAAATAAAGGCTCCATGTACGACCGGCTACTGCTCAGTGGGGGTTGGATTCGAATCTTATCATCATCACTTATTAACTTGCAGCTGACAGCTAGCGGCAGTGATGATTGTCCACCAAAAAAGTTCTTTTCAGACGGATGACTTGGACAAAAGTCCATGGAAAAGTACTTTTCATGGTGGGTTCCTGCTGACATGGCAGAAAGCCATAAGAAATCTGTCATTCAGAGGGATGACGTGGATGGAGATTGTAAATCTTATCTATTTTGAGGGGGGNGGGGACAAGAAAGATAGGGTTCCTAAAGTTGACTCTTGTGGTTCAGACATCACTCACCTTGATGGTGTTTGCTATCATGGAAGTTGCCACATCAGCACCTTGGACTAGGTTGGATTGGGAATTTATTTAATTTTCAATGGATTCGAGCTTCAAATTGGGCAACCAAATTTGTACCCACTACAAGAAAATTATAATAAAAATCATATTCTGAACATAATGTTATTTTACCAAAAACAATAAATTAATGGGTGATAAAATGAAAGGAAGTAGGCTGAGGTGGTTTGATCACATGTCATTCAGAGGGATCACATGTATACGGTTTGCCACCCATATTTATTGATGTTAGTGGGTCACATCCCACCTTGTCTCACTCCATATGACCCATTTGACCCACCCTAACTTAAACTGTGACATTTTTTTTTTTATTTTTTCTCTATTTAATATCATCAACTAAGTTTTCATAAAAATGATAAAAAGTTCAAACAATATTTTTTAAATAAAAATAAAAATGCACATGACACTGAAAAATGAATATAAAACATAAAACTTATAGGAAAACTAAAAATTTAAATGAAAGTATCATTTCACATTTTTACATAAAAACAGAAAATTATAAAAAAACAAAGAAAATTGCAAAAAATACAAAATGCAGAAATTAAGAAAAATATAAAATATGAAAATAGAAATTACATAAAAACCAAAGAAATTATAAAAATATAGAAAAAAACACAAAAAGTACA